TGGATTGGAAGAATAAACATAGTTAAAATGTCCATGCTACCTAAAGCAATCTACGGATTCAATGCAATCCCAATCAGAACCCAAGGACATTCTTTACAGAACTGGAACAAAGAATACTAACATTCATATGGGGCAACAAAAGACTCCAAACAGCTAAAGCAATCCTGAAAAAGAAGAACAAGGCCAGAGGCATCACAATCTCTGACTTCAAAACATACTGCAAAGCGATAGTAATTAAAACAGCATAGTACTGGTACAAAAACAGACACACATCAATGGAACAGAATTGAAAGTCCAGAAATAAAACCTCATATCTATGGGCAACTAATCTTTCACAAAGGAGCTAAGGAAAGTGGAGAAAGGAAAGTCTCTTCAATAAATGGTGCTGGGAAAACTGGACAGCCACTTGCAAAAGAATGAAAGTAGACCATCTTCTTTCGCCATACACAAAAATTAACTCAAAATGGATCAAAGACCTGAAGGTGAGACCTGAAACTATAAAACTCCTGGAGGAAAATATAGGTAGTACACTAGTTGCCATCAGCCATAACGGGATCTTCTTGAATTCCATGTCTGCTCAGACGAGGGAAACAAAAGAAAAAATAAACAAGTGGGACTTCATCAGATTAAAGAGCTTCTACAAGGCAAATGAAACCAGGATCAAAATGAATAGGGAACCCACCAGCTGGGAAAAAATATTTGCGAACCATATATCTGACAAGGGATTAATCTCCATAATTTATAAAGAACACACACAACTGAATAACAAAAAAAACAAACAACCCAATCAAAAAATGGGCAGAGGAGAAGAACAGACACTTCTTCAAAGAAGATATACACATGGCCAATAGACACATGAAAAGATACTCAACATCACTAGTCATCAGGGAAATGCAAATCAAATCCACACTAAGATATCACCTTACACCCGTTAGAAAGGCTATAATCACCAAGATAAAAAGCAACAAATGCTGGAGAGGCTGTGAAGAAATGGGAACCCTAATCCATTGCTGGTGGGAATGCAAACTGGTCCAGCCTCTATGGAAAATAGTATGGAGATTCCTCAAAAAATTAAAAATAGAAATACCTTATGATCCAGCTATCCCACTACTGGGTATCTACTCAATGAACCTGAAATCAACAATCCAAAGAGGCTTATGCACCGCTATGTTCATCGCAGCATTATTCACTATAGCCAAGATGTGGAAGCAACCCAAGTGTCCCTCAAATAATGAATGGATAAAGAAGATGTCGTATATATATACCATGGAATACTACTCAGCCATAAAAAAGACAAAATCGTCCCATTTGCAACAGGTCCAGATGGATGGACCTGGAGGGTATTATGTTAAGTGAAATAAGCCAGAAAGAGAAAGACAAACAGTGCATGATTTCACTCATATGTGGAAGATAAACCAACACACGGACAGATAGAACTGTTTGGTGGTTACCAGGGGCTAGGGGGGTGGGGGGTGG